ACTAGGAGGGGCCCTGGAGAGTTACTGAGATCATCTTCTCGCTCAATGCCCTTGAGCAAGGCCCTTAACCTTAAGGTGCTCCAGGGGGACCATCCCTACTGTCAGTGCACACAAAATCTCTTTAAATAAAGTATATTCTTATAACCTACTGTGGTATCCATTATGTTGTAACAATGGAATATTTCCACATAATTTTTTATTTTAACATAAAATAAGAAAGAGATTAAAAAAGAAAGAACAAAGGTGAAAAATATATATAAAAAAATTTTTCTTAAAGAAATAGTTCCCCTCAAAAATGTAAATTCTGTCATCATTTACTCACCCTCATGTGATTCCAAACCTGTATGAGTTTCTTTCTTATGTTGAACATAAAAGAAGATATTTTGAAGAATTCTGGTAAATTAAACAGTTGATGGTCCCCATTGACTTCCATAGTATTTCTTTCCCTAATATGGAAGTCAACGGGGACCAACAAGTGTTTGGTTCTTCAAAATTCTTCAAAATATCTTCTTTTGTGTTCAACATAATTATTCCTTTAAGTAAATTTAACATCAATTAAATTCATGTTTCTTTTAGGAATTGCTATATTTGTATATTAATACATTTTGAACTTATACAAATTTAGACTGAGTGCTCTATTCTTTGATATGTATCTTTAAAGTGAACCTCATAGTCTAGTCAACTGTATTCTCTTTTCCTGACTTTTTTATTTTTGTAGAATACTTCAATTTTTCTAACTTAAACTGTATTGTTTTACATAAACATGGTTTTATTACTATAACCATTTCCAAATAAACAAATAACTGAATATATATTTCAATATAATTGAGGCCGCTCAGAAAAATTACGAATGATGAAATTAATTCCACTGAAATTCCACTGAGCTACAGAAATTGGCAATGTTTATTTTTTTCTCAATTTACTGTCTTAAATCAAGCTGATCTGTGACGAAAATAGCATAATATTTACAAATATTTAACTGCTTATAAATATTTAACATCCAACAACTGTTGTAGTTTTTTTTTTAAGATTTTTTTTTCCCCCCGAAGAGCAATACATTGAGCAATACATACAGAAAGTTTGAATGTTCTAAAGATTTAATTTGTAAACCTTTTGGTGGAATTGGAATTTATAATGTATAATACTCCAAAAAAACAAACAAACAAAAAAAACATTTCCACACCACAATAACATTAAATGTTTTAATTTCGCATCAGTATTCTAAAGGGCAAATAAATAAAATCTAAATAGGTGTTTAGAGTCCTAAAATTTCATCTCATGAGATTTACAGTGTTCTAAAAGAGTTTCCAGCACTTTATGACTTCCAATGTTGTTTTTCTGTTTCATTAGTAACGTTTGGTAACCGAAGGGCCAAATACAGTGAATTCTGAGTATAAGACGAAAGAAACCAGGAGTGATTTGTAAACATAACACTCAAATGAGAGAACTCACAGCGAGTTGACCACGGTGCACCTTAATTGTCTCAGGATTCAGCTCCGGTTTGCCTCTATTTTTCTGAATAGATTAGTCCCTAGGTCAAAGTTTGGCGGGCTCCCCTTCCCCCTCCCCATCATGAAATATTCACCACATTCTGCTGTTGTCAAAGCAACAGGCCTGACACTGCAAATCACAAAACAAGGGATTAAAGCAGAGGGGTTAAGTATATAACATGCGGGTTTGAACTGTTTTAACCAATGAGAAACCAAACTGCATCTGCTGGCGTGACCTATTTTTAGACTTCCTTTTCCTGCAACATTCTATACAAAACTATTCATATTCCGCTTCAGACGAGAGTAACTGATGTCACTGATAGGCTACTATGTATATGTCCCAGATTTAAAGTAGATGCTTCCTGTTTTACTACAGCGCCAAGAGGTTGCTTCAGCTACTAATGAATAGTTTTCAGATGCAAAGGCTCACTTCAAGTTAGAAATGAGTCAATTGAGCTTGTTATTCTGTTGTCTCTATAAACGGCACAGTTGGAGGTGAACAGGAAAAGCATTCTGCACTTCTCGATGGAGCCCGTGAACTCTGACCTGCTGGAAGAATATTCACATGCATCCTCCCCCACTCTTCAAACTAACTCTCAGAGTCAAAGTTGTTCTGCTCTGCACTGTGGTGGAAAACAACAGGTTGCTTCTTTCAGATCGTTTCACATGTTCCATAACTAGGATGCATAAGGATCTGTAGTGCAGAGCAGAATGCGAAGACTTTCTGGAGCAGAATGCAAACGCCGCAAGAAAAGAAATGAGAAGAAGGTGTTCTTTGTGAGGGCAAAGTGTGTCTGCAATGCAAATACGCTCGGGATAAAACACAATAGGTCGCAGACAGACTTAATGTAAATGATTTTAAACATCTTTTAAACATACTCAGGCCCAACTGTAACCCGCTGTTTGTGCTTCTGTTAAAATATTCCACTCACGCCACAGCGCTTTATTGTTTTTCACATGTGATAATTTATACTCATCCTTTGCTCTTGTGTCCAGACTCCTGTGTGTGAGGTTTTGTGTGTGCCTGAGAGGAATCGAGGGGTGAAAGAGTTCAGAGGTGCCCTTCCCCCACAACCAAAAAATCCATCGACTCTCGCTCATGGACTTCCATCTCAAAAACAAGCCCTTAAAAGGGTGGCAGTCCCTGATACCACAAACCAGGCCTAATTTTACCACACTAAGTGTCAAGCATACTCATAAAATGATTAGAAAGGATGAAAGATGTATACAAATTATTATAGAAAATGTGAGAGAAAAGTTTAAAAACACGCTTTGTTAGGCTGGCAGCTGTGCCGTTCGATAATTGCGCGAATGCGTTGATTAATGATCAAAGTTGTGGGCCAGAGGTAGTGTGGCTGGTGGTTAATGACGGGGTGAGTCTGGGATTAAATATGAGATGGGTAAGTGGAGATGAGGGGGTCAGGTTGCATGTCTTTTCAGACCTACTGTTCATACTGGAGCATTGTGAGCGTGTGAGGGGGAGGCACTGGGGCCCAGCGGCAGCCACAAGCGACAGCTGTCACAGCCTCTGGTGAGAGCCGCTAATGACCCCTCTTCACATAGGTGTCCTGCAACAGCTCCAGACAAACAGCTACTGCAATATCCACTTCTGCATGGCAGGCCTGAAAGTTATGTAATGAAGGACTGAAATTATACAATGGTGATTATGTTTGACTACTGACTTTAGATTGCACTGTTTTTAAAGGGCAAGTGTGGTGAATAAAAAAAGCATTTAAAGCTTTTCTTTCGATGAAAAGAACAATTAAATCAGTTAATTAAAGTAAATGTGTGAGATATATATATATAGATATATATATATATATATATACTAGTGCTGGGCAAGGATTAATCGCGATTAATCGCATCCAAAATAAAAGTTTTTGTGAACATAACATATTAACATATACTGTGTATATTTATTATGTATATATAAAGACACACACACAGTATATATTTAGCAAATATTTGCATGTATTTAAATGTATATATTTATATTCATATAATTTCTTTTTATATCTAATTATATTTAATATATAAACATAACATATTTTTCTTAAATATATACATGCATGTGTGTGTATTTAATATAATATTATTATTACATTTTAAATAAAAATAACAATACAATTAATACCATTAAATGCAACTCCTATATGAAATCTTCAATAGCATGCCTGTATATTCATCATGTGCCAATAATGCAGTTTTAAATTTTAAGATAAATGTGTCAATGACAAATAATATCTGTGATGATAAACCCAGTTTAAACCACAAGTTATTAGAAACATGATGTATTTATGTCAGTTTCATAAACGGGGCATTTTAGAGCACTTTCTACAAAAAACAAACAAACAAACAAAACATGGAAATGTCAAGTAACTCAATTTTTTCTTTGCACGTTGAGTACACAATTGAACATGTGTGTGTATTTATATATACATAATAAATATACACAGCACACGCACATATATTATGTACACAAAAACCTTTATTTTGGATGCGATAAACCATGATTAATCGTTGCCCAGCACCAATACACACACACACACACAAACAATATATATATATATATATATAATGTGTGTGTATTTAATATAATATTATTATTACATTTTAAATAAAAATAACAATACAATTAATACCATTAAATGCAACTCCTATATGAAATCTTCAATAGCATGCCTGTTTGCCCCCATTTTGCCAGTAATGCAGTTTTAAATTTTAAGATAAATGTGTCAATGACAAATAATATCTGTGATGATAAACCCAGTTTAAACCACAAGTTATTAGAAACATGATGTATTTATGTCAGTTTCATAAACGGGGCATTTTAGAGCACTTTCTACAAAAAACAAACAAACAAACAAAACATGGAAATGTCAAGTAACTCAATTTTTTCTTTGCACGTTGAGTACACAATTGAACATGACCGAATCATCATTTTTACTCAACTTGACCTGCACAAAATGTGCTTCTTTGATAAAAGGTAAAAGAAAAAAAAATATATATATAAATATTATAAAAATAATAATGGTGATGGTCATGATGGTCTAAAGAGGTCACATGACAAGAAAATGGCTTCCAGCATGTTGGTCGAGACACTTTGATTTGCCAATTCATACTCCAAAACAAAACAGGTTCAGAAACATGGCTAATAATAAATAATATTGATTAGGCTTTTAATTTATTAGATTAATACTACATAAAACATAGCTATTGTGACTTAAATCAATATTGTATTTCTTTGTTTGTTTATTTACTTGGTAAAATACAATCTTTTTAATAACCTAATAGATTCAGAGAAAATAAAAAAATGAGCATCTCGTCCTTGACCCATATATAGAATATGTTTATCTGTTCTCAAATCATTTAATTATAATCTCTAACTGGCAATCACCATACATTGTCAGGTTATATGCCAGTAGACAGAGATTGTAGCATTCCAAACACTCTCAACACCCGACTTCTGCATCACCCAACTTTATGCTGAACAAACAATAGTCAATGAAAGAGGGAGGAACCATTGCCGCTCCAGGTGTCGCACCAAACACACGGGGCACCTCGCTGTCTATCCGTCTCGATCTGGATCAACGTCGCTCGATGTCATCTCATTGTTTCCTCGATCTACAAGCCTAGGATCGCTAGATCGCTTTGATATGCGATTTCAACGCTGAAGTCATTTGGAAACTGCGGATGCCACTCAGTTTGTCATCCTCGCGGAGTGTCACCTTGCGTTTGTGCCGAACTTCATTACGTCATTTTTATAGGTAAGTTTCGAATCGAATTCTGAGAAAGAATCCATCATAAACAGTAGGGTCGCTTAATCTTTTGTGCTAATAATAGTTCGCTACTTTAAAGGGAGATCGGACGGGGAGATTTCGCTCGGGTTTGCTGTCGTGATGTGAATAGGCATTGTTTCAGCGCTAGTCTAATTGAGATTAGATTAAGATTAGAGATCAATCTATTGGCAACTCACTTTAAACGATAGTCGCACACTCAATGATTGCTTTCTTTAGTGTAGACAGCAGTAGCCTACATAAAGCCTGTCGTGTCGCACTCTCACATAACCTCTGCCATAACCCATTCTGTTTGTCCATGCGCTATTTTTAGGAAGTTTCTTTTTTAACCATCGAACCATCTGTATAGAGATGGAAATCGGAAGGAATTGATTGATTCCGATTCCTCCCGACCATTGCGTAGTTCCATTAACGAGTAACTTTTGAGGAAGAAATGTTTGGAAACAAGAATTTCTTGTTGTAGGCTACTGCACTCAGTTTGTTGCTGATGAGATCGAGGAAATCATTTCAGATTTCTACATAACATATAGGGCTAGCCTGTAACAAATCAGAAATAAAGTCAACACATTTCTGGCAAAGGGTGTGTTTACATAGACTTTTAATGAGTTTTCACAGACTTTTAAGAGGTGGAAATCCACTGTGTCTTACATAAAATATAAAACAAACAAAACTGGGGTAACAATTGATTTTTTATTTATTTAGCCTAGACCTAGCCTATATAAAATACTATGATCGCCGCAGCAAGTGTTTGTGGTTTTAGTAAAACGAGACAGATTAAAGTGCTTTTGATTCACTAAGAAGAACCGACTCTTACGAGTCATTTATTTTGAAATCGTAGTACACCGGTTATACAGTATGTTTTTGATTCATTATAAAGAACCGGTTCATAAGAGAATCATTCATTCGGGATTCGGACTATGTTGGCTGCTATTTGTTTCGCGCTGTACATTCAGTAGCAATGTTGGTATAAACAACACTTAAAACAATCAGAACAGCTGTGTTCCGAGAATGCACGTCCAAGAATCCAATGTCGTGAAAATCATTCGGTTTGGTAGGCCTATTGGTTAAATGGCACCTATTCGTAAGAACCGTTTCTCGGTTTCCAACTCTATTTGTGGGAATTCAGAAATATAAAGCTTTTGAGCTGGCATGCAGCGGTGTCGTTATGTTAAGTTTAACATAACTTTTAGCTAATTTAGGCTATTTACTTGAATGTGTTCTTAACATTTAGATCTACAATCGACAAATAACGACCAGCAATATTTTATTCACTCTTTACTCTTGTTAACTTAACATTTTATATCGTGTAGCCTACAAATGAATTTTTGTTCTGACCGTAACTATAAACCCAAAACTCATCCAGGCTCAGGGAAACAGCTGTACATTTAAATAATAAACTTGTTGATGCAGTGCAACACATGATCCATCACTGAAAACCAATTATTTTAGATGGAAAAAAAACATGCCATGCAATTAGAATTAAATTAGGTTATCAGCTAGCTTCCATCATCCTATTGATTTTTTTCGACATGATTACTTTAAACATGATCTATTATTAGACATTTTAACGGTTTTTTTGGGGGGTACAATACACAATAGCGATCAATGGCATCGGAATGAATTGTCTTAAATCTAAACCCAGTGTTACTTTGAGAGCTATTACTGTCTAGGGCGGGGCTTTGGTGCTTTACTTTTTTTGTTTTGTTCAGTGTTTTTTTTCCTCCCCTCTCCTTGAAAGCTTGTCGGATGCTTGTCAGTTCGCATTTAGCTTACCATTATCAAGGCTCAAAGCCTTTAGAGGACGACGGACTGCGATTTACAGGGAATTTTTGGATAACGGTCCTGTTGAATTGGGATCTTAACTATACGGAGATAAGGAATATGTGACTGAAGCATTTGAAAAGCAGCAGAGGATGTTCGTGCTTCCTAAAGTATGTGCATGACTGATCTTCCACATGAGGACAACTTGATAAATAAAAACATAAGGCATTTTACAGCTAAAACGTAATCAAACTTAAGTATTGTGTATACTAATTATAGTATGTTTTGGTTATACAGTATTTGATTCTGTAATAAACTTTGATAAGTAAACAACTATGTCCAGTTTACAAACATCTAAAATTCAGAAACTTGTTTTAATCTTAAAGCAACTAATTTAAGTGTTTTATTGTTACTAGCTCCTACTGTGTTAAGTTTGCATGCTTATTTACATATAAGGAAGGTTTCTTATTTATTGTGCTCATTAGCTTGGATAAAAACTGTTACACTGGTTTTAGTGCTGTTTGATAATGAGGAGAATGAAGGGGAGGAGGGTGATATGTTGTGTGCATTATCATTATCACAACTGTCATGGTGCCAAGGAACAACTGCTCATGTGAAGCTGAAAGTTCATGTACCAGTCAAATAAGTTGAGGGAGGTTTTGTGGTAAATGACACAACAGGCATATGCAGGGCTCTCTTGTGTTATTAGGTGAATTTGCTGGCATAAGGACTGTTGGGGGGCTGCTGCTGGGATGGCGTCAGCACACTAGTTAATACCCCTTTGCTTTGTGATGAGGGGTCTGTTTCTGACTAAAATGAACGGGTTACTTTTGTGCTTTCTTTTGGGTGTATTCCTTTTTTGGCACTGCAATTGTTATAGTAGAGTTCATGTAGATAGAAGTGGAGTATATTTGTGGAGTTGTTTTGTCAGGGGACCTAAAATGGTGTTTAATTTGAAAATTAATTCCTTTAATCCCATATTTTTCACAGTGTGCACATGTAGTTTAACTCTAAAGGAACGAACTGCATGCCTTTTCTAAAAAAGTTTGTGTTGATATGTGAAAATAATTAACTTCTCAAAGTCCCAAGTTGCATACTTTACTGTCTTTACTAAGTTATTGGTTGTCAAGAGGCTGCCATGGGTTTAAAAAATGACACTGAACACTACAGTTATTCTTGTGTTCTGTGCCGACAGACAAAAACCTTATCTTGCAGCAGTGGTGGGAGATATTTGCATGGGCCTTTTGCTAAAGTCACTTCCCTTTTATGTGCAGCTGGTTACTGTGCTCAGCCTCAAGGAAGCAAGTTGTTTACATGGCTTCGGTTCACGCACTACACACCTTTTGACAGTGCAAATCAAACAAACTCCAGCACGTTCATTCGGGAATGAGGGAGTGGGTGTTGTACTGCTTGTTTGAGTTGTGAAGAGACCTAAGCAACCTATGAAATCCCAGCCGTGACTGTTCTGAGATGTAAGGAAAAGTGATAAGATGCTCTGTGCTTGTTTTGTTCTTCATCTGAAAAGGGTCAGGGGGCTTGGGTTCAACCGTTTAAATGTCGAAAGATGTGGGATTTTCGGATTTCAATACTTGGCGCAATCCCTTTGAATGAGAATGGAATGAAGAGCCTTTTTAAAAATGTAAAGAAGTTTAAAAGTGTGATGGTCGAATTGGAACCCAAGCTGTTTATTTAAAATACCTGTGTTTGCTCTAAAAAATAAAGGCTTTTTATTGGCATTGATGGTTCCATGAAGAACTAAAAATAGTTATTCTATCGCATTGCTTCAAAACCCCCCTTTTGGAATCAATATTTACAAGAGTGTCTACCTAGAATACACAGCATGGTATTCTTTTCAAACATATCCAAAAAATTAAATAACACTGCACAAGTATCTGGTCTTAATTTGACACATCCATTTGTCGCCAGACTATTTTCACTTTGTTTGAGGTTTATGGCTTGAACTTGTGTTGACCTTGCGAAGCTGACCCTGTTCGTCCCCTCAGCATTCAACTACTGTATGACTTAACAAGCATTTTCAGTCCTCTCGCAACCCCTAATAGCTCAAGATCCGCTGGCTGGAGGAAGGGACCATTAACATTATCAGTGGCTTTGAGTACAGGCAGTGGGGAGGCTAAAACAAAAGACACAAGGGTGGCATTGTGAAGGATCAGCAGTAGATTACTGGAATTCTTTTTCCGTGGCCTGAATAAGCTTCTAGTTCCCCCATCTGGACACATGAGAAAAGCTTACATTTGCAACTTTAATATTTTAATGCCATTGTTATACTGAAGCAATTTGAGGCTGCCTAGCCATTAGTGTCATTTGGATTCAAAAGACGTAATAACGGGCGTTGCAAATGTAAGATCCTTTTGGTGAAGTGTGTGCAGTAATGTTTTATGAAACGTTCTGTTGATTATTAAAACATTCATAGTAGGGGAAATAGATTTTATGAGTTGACTTTATTGCTACAGTATGCGTAATGTGTATTATAGCATGTCACAAAAAAACATGTCTCATTGCTGCATCATTACCTCTCATTGCTCATTAAATCAAACATACACGTACAGAAGTAGATGAGAGAGAGGGCTGGAGGATTTGGTCATATCATCAACTGAAGTGCAGTTTTACCTGTTGTGGATTAATTTGAATAACTGTCTGTTTGATAAACAGTTGACTGTTGTATATTCAGTCTAATAGAATCATAATCAGGAAAATAGTTTCAAGGACATACACACAGAGTTCAATTTGAGATACAAAGTCAATTGCTATTTATCCTCGGGAGCAATACTTCTGAAAGGAAATATTCATAAATTTCCTGAATTCTCTCCATTGTGGTCTTAATCCACCTTTGGTTTGAATTACGGAGAGCGAGTAAAATGAAAATGTGCATTTGTTCCCTTAAAGGGATAATTGACACACAAAAATTTACATTTGTTACCCTTCATGTCATTTAAAATCCATATGTCTTTTTTTCCTGTAGAAAACAGGCAGAATGTTTGAGCTTCTCTTTTCCACAATGAAAGTAAATGGAGACTGAGGTTGTCAAGCTCCCCAAAAGACAAAAGAGTACTAGAAAAGCATTGGAAAAGTAGACACATGACTTGTGCACTATATTCTAAAATCATATGTTATGCTTTGAGTGATGGAAAAACTTAAATTTAAGTCAATTTTCACTAAAAACAGTTCATGAGAATGATGGTCACCATTCC